TTTATCCAATCCAGCAACAGTTTTTAATTCTGTGTTCATTTCCTGTGAGCGGAAATGGCTGGAGACAAAATATACAAGAGGGAGAATGTATACATTAGAAGAATACACTGCTGTAAATGTGGGATTATCCCGGTGATCGGATTGTTTGTCCTGTGCTCACTAGACACACATTAGGGTGTTGTTTGGCTCTAATATATTTCATCTTTTTTAAATCCTATTATCCTCTATTGACAGGGTATATAACTTGAATAGGCAGGAACTTTTTTTATTCTAGACATTTAAAAGAGCCTTAAAGCAGTATTAAACCCAAAAGCAATAATTTATTATAGTTTTCCAATTCTTAGATGTGATGGCTGCATTAGTTTTCATTTTAGGCTTTCTTTCCTCAATTTTTATCTGGTGATCCAGCCAGTAAGTCTGTTGTCTTTCAAAAGAACAAGCTCTCTTCCAGATGTATCAGTTTATATAAATGAAACAAACCATTTACTACTGATGGGGATGCTTACAACAATCGGCTTTTATTTATTCATCCCAAAATAAAAAACTGTTGTAACTGATTATAAAGTGTCAGCTGGAGTTTGGCTTCAATTTGTTATTGTATTTAAATCTTCTTGTACATCTAACACTCTCCTCTTCCAGACTGACAATGCTGCTGTCTGCTGTGCCCCCTGTGCTCATTCATCCAGAGTGGGGGACACGCTAATACAGGAGGTGTGTTACTGGGCAGATCACCTGGTGAAAAGAGAGGGAACAAGCCGAAAAAATGAAAACTAAAACAGCCACCATATCATGATTGGTAGATGCAGTATATGACATTTTTGGTTTAGGGTTTAATACCGCTTTAATGGAAACCTGCACTGGTGAAAATGTGCAGGTTGCCATTGCTGACTTTTGAAAATGCTGCTTCCCTGGCTGTTGCATTGATTCATTGGCTTTATGGATCATTAACTGGAGTAAGAATGCAAACTTAGGCCTTTTGCACACTGCAGCTTGAAAAAGCTCAGTACATTGTAAATTATGAGTTACATTTTACCTCCGTTAAAAAAAACAATGTGCCTTTGCACACAGGTATGTAAATAAGTGCCATGTATTCCTCAGTAAAAAAAAAAAATAAAATAAGAAAAGCTGCATTTTTGGGCATTAATTTACATCATGTGCGCACAAATATGAGCATAAATATTCATGAATTTTATCTAAGAATCTATTGTGCGTGTAAATGTGCGGATGCAAATATGCGCCCAAATTAGCTCAAAATAATCACCTGAAAAAAACCAGATGCCCAAACATCAGTACCATGTGCAAGAAGATGTACTGCCCATTCACCCCATTTGCGTTGGGAGGGGCATCCTTGCTCAGTGCAGTCCCAACTCAAAAGACAAAATCATTTCCTTTGCTTTCTATGAAGTCTGTTTATACCACTGTATTGCTCTGAAGGAAAGTAGTTGATGTGCTTCTTTTTTTCAGCGCAGTTTGTTGGGATGCAAGCTACCACATCACAGTGCTGCTGCGGTGACTTGAACGGAATGATGTGTCACTTGTGACATTTCAATAAAGTTGTAACAAATAAACAGTGTGGCGCATGGACATGGCTCCTCCTAGTGCACACCAGTGGTCACGCAATTGGCTGAGGTTCCAGAAAACAGCTGGACATCTAGTATTTTTAAGGAGACGGTCAGCAATGGCATCCTGCATGTTCCCACAGTAAAAGATCTCCTTTCTTTTCATGTGTAGTAGTATAGTAGGTATGTGTAGCTGGCCATAGATCGAAAATCAACTAGTTCATCAGGGTTGGCTGAATTTTGATCAGTGTATGGCCGTCCCAGTTCAACAGAAGCTTTTTGTCTTGTCCTGCTGAAAAGATTACAAGGTGGGGGGGGGGGGGGGGGTAGGACAACTCCCATTATTTGTGTGGATGGAGTAATCTGAACAGACCATCCATGAGCTGCTTAACTCTTGGTGGGAAGAATATTTTCTCATACACTGCTGCAAAACCTGGAAGGTCAGATCCACCATTGCTTATCTAGTTAGTAAGGTATTGAAGCAAGCATGCTGCTAGTGAAGTGTGAGTTCCTGTCCTACTTGTTTATTCTACTTCAGACAATGAAGCCCGATAACCTGCACCAGAAAGTCAACAATTCCAGCTTGCAGTGACACCACCCAACCCTCCAATGCAAGGGTTAAATGCTGATTAAAGCAAGGATCTAAAGCAGAGGTCTTGAATTAAAATTTACGGAGGTCCGGTCAGCAAAATTTCCTTTCAGCAGAGGTCCGAATCTTGTTAGCGATTATTCCCCCGGTACATTATCATCTTTAGCGTACCTTTCATACTGTAGTCCCCCTACATCACAGTGTCCTCAGTTCCCCTTTACATCGCAGTGCCCCTTTAAACATCACAGTGCCCCTTAACGTAGCAAAGTGCCCCATCACAACATAGCACCCCTTAACACAACACAGTGCCCCCATCACAACATAGCACCCCTTAACACAACACAGTGCCCCCATCACAACATAGCACCGCTAAACAGAACATAACGCCCCCTAACACAACACAGTGCCCCCTAACACAACACAGTGCCCCCTAACACAACACAGTGCCCCCTAACAACAAAAGCAGTGCCTTTAACACAACACAGTGCCCCCTTAACACAACACAACGCCCCCCCCTTAACACAACACAACGCCCCCCTTAACACAACACAACGCCCCCCTTAACACAACACAACGCCCCCCTTAACACAACACAACGCCCCATCCCGTAGTGCCCCTTAACCCCACAACGCCCCCCTTCACAACACAGCAGCCCCCTAACACAACACAGCGCCCCATCACAACGTAGTACCCCTTAACACAACAAAGCGCCCTCTAACACAACATAGCACCCCTTAACACAACATATTACCCCTTAACACAGCACAGCAGCCCCTAACACAACATAGCACCCCTTAACACAACACAGCACCCCTAACACAACACAACACAGCACCCCTTAACACAACACAGTGCCCCAATCACAACTTAGCACCCCCTAACACAACACAGCGCCCCTACCACAACACTGTGCCTCTTTTAATGCAATCCTTCCCCTGCACAGTCCTATGGTACCTTAGGCAGGGCAGAGGCACTAATCCTTCTGGGGTGTCCTCTCCTGGGCCTCCATTCCGCCACCGATGTCATCCTCCTAGCGGGCAGGGGTGGGAGGAGCTACAGATCGGGACTGAGGTTCAAGAGCTCCCCAAGTTATGTTAACAAGTGGGCGATTGCATGGCTTGCTAATATGAAGATACTCCCACTTTCTGTCTCGAACTGCATAGAGCGGAAGTCTTTACATATTAACAAGCTGGCTAATCGCCAGCTCCCGCCTCTCAGACCTGATCTGCAGCTCCTCACACCCTGCCCACTGTGAGGATGACATTGGTGGCTGAGTGGGAGGCCCGGAAGAGGACACCCAGCCATGGCAGTGGCATGGCTGCGGTCCGTACAGGACTGTAAATCGGTCTGGTTCCGGACCGCGGTCCGCCATTTAGTGACCACTTGTCTAAAGGATTCCCCATGCCGGCATGTTTACTAAAGGAAGTCGGCTTCCCACTGCACATGTGCTCTGTGGATGCTCCCACACTCTTCTGTGATGTATCCCAAAGGGCGATGAACTTCTGCTCAGGTCACCTAGGCGATCCGGGCGAAAGTGGGAGGCGGTACCTATCAAAACCAGGTACCCGCTCCTCCAAAGTAATAAAAGTTTGCGAAAATGGTAGAGGAGGGAGGAAACGGAAAAGTGGAACGTTCTTTTTAAGTTGACCATGGTTGGTCACAGAAAAAATCCGCTCATACACATGCACTCTCCTTGAGATGTCAGACTGTTTCAGCTCTTAGCCCTCCCTGGCAAAATAAAGGAAGACTTCCATCATTGAAAATGATGCAACTACAGACTTTACTAACATATTGTAAAGATATAAGGACTTGGTAAAGACTAGCAGAGCTCACTTATATAAAGAGATCCCACCACAATAGTAGAAGCTCCAGTTACTTGGTCACAATAGTCTAATCGCATACTGTATCTTTATTAGTCCCCCCACTGGGCACCAAAAATATACGTCATGCACTGTGGTAGACAAATGCGGAATTTTTGCACAGTTAAAGTACATCTGTCATGAGAGAAATGCAAAGGCTGCCAGTGCTGACCTTTTCTTCTGGCTGTCATGCCAGTACATTGGCTTCATTATGCCCCAGTATTCCTGCTTCTCAGCACAAACAAACAAGATAGTCTAGATCCTTTTTTTGCCCAGTTACATAAGAGCACTGATACATGGGACCTCAGACTTTTAAGGGAATTTTCTGTTCAAGGACACACCCAGAGAAAGGAAGGCAAAAACCCACATGTTAAAGTGATTATTTTTTTACTAGAACACTGATCCAAATCTGTGTGTTGAATTAGTCTGTCATACAAATCTCTTATTTACTGTTGTGGGGGGACTTTATGATACACACACATATTATATATACAGGGGGGCTTCAAAAAGTCCCTGCACTTTACATATATTTGTGTGTGTGTGTGTATATATTTGTAATATATATATGTAATGTGTGTGTTTAAAAAAAATGCAGAAACTTTTTGAACTACCCTTGTGTGTGTATATTATTATACAGTATTTATAAAGCGCCAATAGTTCGCTCAGCGCTGTACATTACAAAGGGGGACAGAACATGTGACAGAACAATACCAATACAATGCAAAACATGAGGGGATTGAGGGCCCTGCTCTTTCGAGCTTACAATCTAGGAGAGTATAAAATAAATAAATTCACTATATTGCCAAAAGTATTGGGCCGCCTGCCTTTACACGCACATGAACTTTAATGGCATCCCAGTCTTAGTCTGTAGGGTTCAATATGGAGTTGGCCCACCCTTTGCAGCTATAACAGCTTCAACTCTCCTGGGAAGGCTGTCCACAAGGTTTAGGAGTGTGTCTATGGGAATGTTTGGAGGTCTTTAGCAATTGACTCTGCAGACAGTTGTCGACTTCTGCGCACTGTGTGCTTCAGCATGCGCTGACCCCGCTTTGTCATTTTACGTGGCCTACCACTTCGTGGCTGAGTTGCTGTTGTTCCCATTTGCTTTCACTTTGTTATAATACCACTAATGCAGGCCATAGACGGTTCGTTTATTGGCCAATTTTTCATCCGACAGAATAATCGGGCCGATTTTTGCACTGTTAGTAGGGCAATGGCATTGGCCAATTTTCTCGGTTGCTCCTCATTTCATTTATTGGTCATGCTGGAAAAATTCATGAAAAACGGCCTATTTTCGCAATCATTGGTGGTAACATCGGTTTATAGAATGAACGATTTTTCATTTTCCGGCCGAACAATCGGCCAATAAACAAACCATTTATGGCCTGCATAACATTTGACCATGGAATATTTAGTAGGAAGGAAATTGCACAGGTGGCAACCTATCATGGTACTATGCTTGAATTCACTGAGCTCCTGAGAGCGACTCATTCTTTCACAAATGTTTGTAGAAGCAGTCTGCATGCCTAGGTGCTTGATTTTATACACTTGTGGCCAGGGAGGTGATTGGAACACCTGAATCCAAAGATTTGGAGGCCTGTCCCAATACTTTTGGCAATATATAGTGTGTGTGTGTATGTATAAGTATGTAAGTGTGTGTGTATATATATATATGTGTGTGTGTGTATATATATATGTGTGTGTGTGTGTGTATATATATTATTTTATTTTCTGAAAGGGTGCACTAGTGTGAGTTTTTGTAGGAAGAAAAAGGTTACCATTTCATAGTGTATAGGAGGTAAAATTTGGGAAAGAGTGAGAAAGAATTGAGGGGTGTTTGGAGTCAGTGTGGGGCATATTCAAGACCCTAGCTATCAAACTGCCCACCGAGTCCCCTCTGTGTTTAAGGAGTGGCTGTCAGCATCCCTGGGGCAATGTGATCAGTGGTCCTCAGAGTTGGACTGACAGCTGCTCCTGCTTAGACTTTGGAACCCCACAGGTTTCAGCTGTCATGCCGTGTGTGTCTTCTGTCAGCTCTTTTGACACGGACTGAAGCATTAGATGTTAAATTGACAGCTTAGCCCTGCAGAGTACACCAGGAGAACAGCTTTTCCAATGTTATCTACACGATGTTCTCTACAGGGCCCAGTTCTATGTATTGAAAGGGCCCTTAGCAGGTCTTGGCGATCAGTTACACAGCCAATCCAACTGTATGTATTAGGAGCCACTGTCAGCATTACAGAACTCCAAATAAACAATGATAATGACTGTTGAAGTGACAGTCCAGCCCCAGAAATTACATCAAGAGAGTGCCTCTGCCTGTGACAGCCCTGCAACTGAGGAGCGCTCCTTATTTTAAAATCAAAAAATGCCTTACAGAATTAGCTTGTGATATACACTCACCGACCACTTTATTAGGTACTCCTGTTCAATTGCTTGCTAACACAAATTGCTGATTTAGCCAATCACAAGGCAGCAATTCCATGCATTTAGGCATCCTAGATGTGGTGAAGAAGACTTGCTGAAGTTCAAACGGAGCATCAAAATTGGGAAGAAGAGTGATTTAAGTGATTTTGAACATGACATGGTTGTTGATGCCTGATGGGCTGGTTTAAAGTATTAAAAAAAACTGCCGATCTACTGGGATTTCCATGCACAGCCATCTCTAGGGTTTACAGAGAATAGTCCAATAAAGGGAAAATATCCAGTGAGCGGTGGTTTTGTGGATGGAAATGCCATGTTGATATCAGAGGACAGAGGAGAATTGGCAGACTGATTCGAGATGATAGAAAGGCAACAGTAAGCTATTATCAAAAACAAAAAAAGGCCCTCACAAAATCAATGAGATTTAAATGAAAAATTTTTTTTTAATAATTGGGATAGTCCATATATGCCATAAACTCTAAATGATACAAAACTCATACATAAACAGAACATTTATCAATTATTCATGAGTGAGCCAAATGACAGTGGGATTGTTTTTTTTTATTGATACTGAGTTAAGGTGGTATACACTTTGAAGAGCTGCTGTCTCCTTTTTTTTTTTTTTATTTCTGGTTGGGGTTGGCACCCCTGTTTTGTATTGTGTTTATTGCAACAGTAACTCTTGTCAATATGGACCAAAATCTCTGAGGAATGTTTCCAAAAACCTTGTTGAATCTATGCACAAAGAATAAAGGCAGTTCTGAAAGCAAAAAGGGGTCCAACCCGGTACTAGTAAGGTGGACCTAATAAAGTGGCTGGTGAGACAGTGCGGTGCCCTGTCTAGGGGTAAAATGCTTTTATGTCACCCGGGATTCTCAGCTCGGCAATTTGAGGATCTCCAGGGTGCTTGTTTCATTTGAAGGAAACAGTAATTTCAGATTTCTTAGAGATTTGTGTAGGATGATATCTCCAATCCTGGTTTGTAGATGAATACAGGGACACTGTCTTAGATGGTCAGGAAGATGAAGCACAAGGCCTGAGCAGTCTTTTTATTTTTTTTGTGTTGATGGTGGAAACCCGTGCATGGGCAACTCTTCTGTGTTGAACTTACTTTCATTGGACTTTTTCTATTTAAATAAAAGAGGACCAACAAGCCCTGAAATGGTATATCTAGCATGGAGTGTACTCAATGGTGAGCTCTACATTTAAGCTAAACACCCCCCCTAACATCACACTAGATATAATAAATACTTTTTTTTTTCCCAATGCTCTATATGAAGTGGAATTTCAGCTAGCTTCCACCACTGAATTAACTAATTAACTGGCCTATATTCTGGGTGAAATCCCAACTACTGTTCTTACATATTATCTCTGTCCACAGTGACAGGGCAGCTGCTGGGCTTTGCAGTATCCGACTTATGGAATATCAGACTTTTGATTTGTGCTTAGGCTAGGGCTCGATAAATCTCAGGCGCAAGGTCACCATGGCAACCAGAAACCGTGTTCTGGCGCCTGGGCTCCTGCCAACCCACATTGCCTTGTGGGCAGAATCGCTCTACTAAAATGAAAAGTCACGGAATCGCGTGTTCATATGTGCCATTCATTTTAATGGCTCCTAAAAAACACTGTGCAGTTCTGTTGTTCTTGTTCCATGATAAATCGCAGTGCAATCGCAGCAAATTCCATCGCACAGAATCGCTCTACTAAAATGAAAAATCACGGAATCGCGTGTTTTCATGTGCCATTCATTTTAATGGCACCTAAAAACACTGTGCAGTTCTGCTGTTCTTGTTCCATGATAAATCGCACTGCAATCGCAGCAAACCCCATCGCACAGAATCGCTCTACTAAAATGAAAAATCACGGAATCGCGTGTTCATGTGCCATTCATTTTAATGGCACCTGAAAACACTGTGCAGTTCTGCTGTTATTGTTGCATGATAAATCGCACTGCAATCGCAGCGAACCCCATCGCACAAAACATGTCACCCCAAAAAAAGTTCAGGAACTTCTTTTGGTTGATGCGGTTTTGCCGCAATTGCAGCGCAATTTATCACACCGGAACCACACTAGGTTTTCAAGTGCACTTAAATACTCGTGGTGCCACAATTTTGTCATTTTAGCATTTTGGTTATCGTGTAGGAATTGCGACAATTCTACCAGCTAATCAAAATGTCTATGTGTGAAAGCAGCCTTACATTTCAGAAATTTCCAGTTCCACAGTACATTTTTGGACAGTGCTTAAACTGTTTCAGGTGGCTTCCAGAGACATGGTAGAGAAAGAAGGTTCAGCAGATTCTCAGCTTGGAAGTTTCTTTAGATGTAGCTACCTCTAGACATGTGAGCAAATGCAGCATAAGGCCTATTACATTGTTATCAATGTGCCTGTACATGTGCGTAAACATGTGTTGCTTATAGATCAGTAAAAAAAAAACAGAAATCAGAGTTGTCGGTCAGTATCTTTTAGTGCTGCACCGATATATCGGCTGCTGAAAATTATCGGCTGAAAATAGGGTTATCATCGTTTTGCCGATAGAAAAAAAAAGTGCCAATAATTATAATTGAAGTCAATGCAAAATCGCGTCCCATTGACTTCAATGCAAAAGTACCCCCTGTTGATGTCAGTACAAAATGTGTCCCATTGACTTCAATGCAAAATTGCCTCTATTTAAGTTTTTTTATTTTATGCATATTTCATTTTATTTTCTCTCCAATTTTCGTGTTACTTTCAATAAAAGCTCTGGATTGTAATTTTTAAATTCATATTAATTTAGATTGTAAGCTCCAAGGAGCAGGGCCTTCGAACCCCTTGTGTATTGTATTGTTACTGTACTGTCTCCCATTATAATGTACAGTGCTGAGCAAACCGTTGGCGCTATATAAATACTGTATAATAATAATTTTAAAAGAGAAATATGCGATTTTTTTTTAAATTTTCCAAATGATACTTAGGCTGGCCATACATTATACAATTTTCTTGAGAATTTTGTTTTAGATTTACCAAAAACCATATAATGTGAGGTCAAATATAAACAACACTTTCAATTATATCCAGTTACGCAAGCCCTTGCACTACATAGTTGAAGGTAAATCTAAAGGAAATGGAAATTGGACAGAAAATTGTATAGTGTATGGCCAGCCTTACCTAGGTGGATGCAGCATATATAATATAACTATATATAAAAAATATATTTATGTAAAAAACTGCCCATTTCAGTTTTGGTTTCAGTTTTCAGCCAAGTGCATTCTGAATTTTCGGTTTCTGTCCATAATTTTAATTTTGGTGCACCAGTAATATTTTTGAATGTATTTGCACAAATACATGTAAATATGCGCATATGTCACCGTTTCTTCATAAATAAAATATTAAAATAAAGCTAGAAGAAAAACTATATGCACAAATACACACAAATGATATACAGCCCATCCTTGTGTTTTTTTTTTTTTCTTCCAGGAATGTCTGATACTCAGTACAATGTGCAAGAGGCCGGTGTACTGACCGGCGTAGCTGGCTTCTTTAACAGCCATAGCCGCCTTCTTTATCTCTGCACAGTCTAGTTATTGCTCTGTATGTAGATTATTGTACCATATTAGGCATCTGTTAATGCAGAAGGTTGGAAGCTTAAAGTGGAAACAATGCCTAACACTATTATTATTTCAGATATTTATATAGCGCCGTCAATTTACACAACGCTTTACATATATATATTGTATATTCACATCAGTCCCTAACCCTCAAGGGGCGTACAATCTAAGGTAACACTAACTATTCTGTCTCGCCTATTTATCCCTCTTACCTATCCTGCCTAACCTGCATAAAAAAGATCTGTATACTTTCCTATTTTAATCTGGTCTGGTCATGTGATCCTGCAGGTCGGGCTCTCCTGTGTCAGTGAGCAGCTGCTGCAGAGGAGAGGAGGGAGCACCTACAATGGCTGGGCTATGGGAGCCTATGAGTGACGTTACAGCTCCCAGAATTCCCAGCCATTGTTGAGTGCTCTCTGAGTGGAGCTGCAGGATCACATGACAATAGGCAAGTATACAGATCTTTTTTAATACAGGTTAAGCAAGAAAGGTAAGGGGGGGGGGGGGAACATTTTTAAGAATAATTAGACTTCGGCTTTTCTTCCACTTTAAGTGATATCCTTTAGTGGCTAACTCATGTTATTAAAGTTTTTCAGCATGCCTTGAATCCCTCCATAAGGCTTTGTATA